ATCTATCATTAAGCTCCATGCAGATGATTTACGGATCTCATAACAAACTTCTTCTTCAATTACTTTTCCAATTGCGTCAATAAAATCTCTTCCAGCATGATTATTGTTATAAGAACCATAAGTGTTTCTCATTAAGCTTGTATCTTGTAATGCTGAAGAAAATTTTAAAATATTAATATTTGATGATATATGTAATTCTTGAGCATTTTGGATTTGCTGATCAATAAGATTACAAAGATCAGTAATTGTATGCGTAGCTATATTATGCTGAATTAACCAATACATATTAATCATGTTGCGTATAACACGAAGTTTGTCAATTCCAAGTTGTTTTGTAAAACTTGCAACTATACTTAATTGTGTTTCAGATCGTGCTTTTAAAGTTTTTTGATGGTCTTTAATATCAAGATGTCATTTAAGTAATTGTTCTTTAAAATTATCACATCCAGATACAAATATATTTGTATATTTGGCAGCTTCGCACCAATTACAGAACATAAGTTTTTTATCTTCATCAAAACGTAACCAAGGGTATGTAATTAACCAAGTTTGATTAAATTTAAGATTTTCTCTTAATAAATGTGATAATTTAGGTTGGGGATTTTCACTATTATTATTTAACGTTAGAGAGCTTGTGATATTTATAGTAGCTTCATCTTCACTATCAGTTAATTTATCATAATATCGCTTTTTTGCTTGTGCTGCAATTGTAAAAGGATTCATAGTAATAGGTCGACCAACTTGCTTATCTTTGCGTGACATTATTAAAAAATAATAACAGTAAGTTTCAAAGAAAAAAAAAGATTATCGCACATCATATATTATAAAAAAATGCACTTTAACCAATTTAGGATGTTCATTCAAATAAATATTTAAACTAACCATTCGCTTTAATTTGTTGGATTTTTTTTTTGTAAATAGCTAATGTGATTCTTTCAGTTCTATAATTATTAATGAGATCTGTCATATTCATCTAATTCAACAGCTTTTTTATAATAAGTAAATACCTTGCATTTATCTTTTTCGATACCAATTTCTTTTTTGTAATAATGTTCAACATTATAAACGCCAGTAAAGTATCTCATTTCAGCTAACTTTTGATAATAACAAAGCACCTTTTTTTCATCTTTTTTAGCACTAAATCTGAGATAATAACAACTAGCAAGAAGACATAATCCGTTAAGATTTCCCATTTGAACAGCCTTTTAAAGATAATTGAATGCTTTTTTTTGTCCTTCTCAACACTATTACTATTAAAATAATAAAGTTTGAAATTATATTTTTTTTAGCGCTTCCCATTTTAGAAGATTTTTTTTAAAATAGTTGAATGCTTTACGATTATCTTTTCAACACCAACATCATTTCGATAATAAAGTATAAAATAATAAAGCCAAAATCAAAAATCAAATTAAAGTTAAAATAATTATTGTTACTAAAAAAAAAATGTGGGCCGCAAATAGCTTAGAGTCTTAAAGATAAGAACTAAAGCTGCTATCAAATTATTATTATCAGGCTTTTTATGGCCTAGAGTTTTTAAATATCGTAACTTTATAATAATAATAAATCCTGAAAGTTAAAAGAAAAAACCAGGCAAGTAAAAATAGCTCAACTAAAATACTAAATATAATAATAGCGATAGGGCTAATTTATTGTCCCTATTTAGTATTGGGCAAATGTACAAGTATTATCTATATGCGAATATTAGGGATGGCAAATGTTTTAAAACGTGATCTTAAAAAACATGTTTGTCTGATTTAAAACTGTTGAAAATTGTTTTAATACATTATGATGTAATATGATCCGGGCATGATCCAAATTGCATAATATTCAAAAATATAAATTAATAATCAAATTAGCTGAAACTAAAATTAGCCAATCAGAGACGATAATTTTAATTTCAGCCAAATTTTGGAATCAGACGCCGATGTTTTAAAAAAAGTTTTAAAACAATAAAAAATGTTAAAAAACTGTTTAAAACATTTTTTTACCATCCCTAGCGAATATTGCATATACGATGTATAATTAGAGATGAGTCATCTGATTTCTCACTAATATTAGTTTTAATAGTATATTGAGATTTCATAGCCTACTTCTCATTGAGTCTTGTATTTAGAATAATTTAACCGGCTACGTAGCATAACAATTATTTATTAATCAATGTATTGCAATAGGCATCAATAATACTAATAATGCCTAATATTGCAGATACTACGGTGGTACGTAACAAAAATGATCAGGAAAAATAATATACAACAAATTTTTTCCGTATTTAAGAATGACTAAATGATTCTTCAATTTGGTTTAAATGAATGTTATAAATACTTTAGCAAGATTATCGAAATATTATTACACAGTGGACAATCATTCGCAAAGAATGTATTTCCGGAAAAATAATATACAAAAACTTTTTCCGTATTTAAGAATGACAAGATTATCGAAATATTATCACACGGTGGTCAATCATTTGCAGAGAATGTATTTCTGAAACTTTTTTTAAACACCGCTCTAACAAATCAATAATCAATAAATTATTAAGGTTTACGATTTACAAATTTAGCGTAAACACCATGTGTAAATAATTTTTTTAAAAGTTACATGCAATTACATACAATTAGGTCTATGATAAATATGTAAATCCTGGGTTTATTCTAGGGATGCCTTTTCTAGTTTTATATAGATAGCAGTCTCTGACATAAAGATAAATCATTCTATTAGTATTCGAAAGAATATTAGTTTTGTAAGCCTAGTGCATAACTATTATAGTTACAAGTTATTCTTGTACCTAGTAAGTTACCAATAGGTTTAAACTTAACATAGTTTTATAATACCTTATGATTTAACTGATTCAAAAGTTAATTAAAGAACTTGAACTCATCTGAACAAGGAAAATACTTTTTCAAGAAAGCCTTAGAATTAAAGACTTTGGATATATGAAAATTCAGTCTATTAATTGAGATTTAAAAAATCCGACCGCCTAATCGAAATTTCAAATGCAATGCAAAACGAAAAATAAACTTTGTGTAGCCTTATCCTGAAGTTATAACAAAATCCATATGGGTTCCCATTGTAATATAATAAAAATTAATTCGTACGTAGCATAACTTTTATTAAACAATATATAAATAAATTAATTACTTAACTGTTAATGTATTTTACATACGTATTTATGTGCATAAACACACATACATGCCACTTTAAGGGGACATTTAATTAAAAATCATTAACGTTTAAGTTAGAGTCAGTTTAGAACTTGTATAGGATATTACGTATGAAAAGTTATTATAGGTAAAATCATCCCTATTACTGTATTATTTATACTGATTTGATTTGATTAATAAACCTGTTACTTATTTGATTCGATTTAGCCAATAAGTGTTATAATCATGTTACAATCATTTACTGTATTATGAAATAGTCTATTTTCTTTATGAATTTATTACATGTTTGAGTTATTTAATTAATAATAAAATTTATTTGACTAATGTATATAACGATCTGATACTTTTAATATGATTTTCTTAAAATACAGTATATACAAAATGTTGATTTTAACTTTTAGCTTTATCTGAATTTAAAGCTGTAGAATGATAGCA